CCCTGTTACTGTACCGGTCCTCTCGAATAAAAGGAAGACCGATAGATACGTCGTCAGTTGAAAGTTGAAAAAGATTTGTGCTGACCTTGTCTAAAACTAAAATATTTAAAAAATGTACCCTACTTCAGAAACGGGGACGCTCGGAACCAAATCAGTGTTGAGTTATTATTTCTTTTTAAAATTAATTTTTTAAAAATAAAATAATAACGTCTTTTTTTTTAAATGCAATGTGATTATCTGAAAGACACGGGACTTGACACACACAAAGGTCAACCGCAATGCAGGAACTCTGTTGCGCGTTAGATAAACACTGTTTACGAACCCTTGAGACCTAGCGGCGGGGAGGAGGAGGGGGGGGGGGCAGAATAAACCAGGAAGTAGAAGCAGGATATCTGCAAATGTCGCGTTACGGTACTGTGCGAGCTTTTAAGTGCAAGCCGAGTAAGCGTTTGGTTTTAGATTCGTTTGTTGGTTTCTTTGTTTGAGTAAAGAGAAGCACTCGACATAATAATGATCATTTAAGTACAGTACTAGATTCTAGGCAAAGTAAGACAGAAACAACAGAGGGAAAGTAAAGAAGAAGAATCTACCAGTGGCACATTCGAACCACCCGCACTAGAATCGTTTTAACATCGGCAATGAAAATGTTACAGGCACAGAAACACTCCATTGATTAAATTAAAGATAAATAATATTATTCTATCCAGTCTCTTAAGATACCCATACAGCACAAGCACCAATTAACTTTTAAGCATTAGTTATTAGTAACAGAAAAAGAAGTGCTGTGTAGTTTTAATGCTCATAAAACTGACATTGCTCTTCCGTGTTTGGCTCTACCACTCTTAGCTCTGACTAAGGGCGGCAGACTGAAAGATCCTTCGACAGTCAACTGACATTCCGTGATATATAGATCTAAATCTAATGTATAAATATATGTGTGTTTGTATGTGTGTGTACGTGTGCGTGTGTGTGTGCGCGCGCACGAGCACGTGTGTGTATGTGTGTGTGTGTGTGTGTGTGTGTATGTGTGAGCGTGTGTGTGTGCAGAAGGACGATGGGTGGGTGGATGTGAACATGTATTCAGTTCACCACACAGTGAAATGGGCGGGATGCGTAAATCTTTTTAGTTCTGTGCACGAGGAAGAAAAAATTCGGGATCTGAAAATCGGATCGCCCTGTACGCGTTCGCTATGTGCGTGCTAAGTGCTAGACTATCTGAAAGATCGTGGATGAATGGGAAACCCTCTGTCGTGGCCGATCACAGTGGCAAAGCTGTGACATGTGGCAGCAAATTTTCTGAGAAAAACAGAGATTGAAAAGCAGGGGCAGCCAGAAAAGCAAGAAAATCAAGGCAGTCAAATCCTGAAATAGACATTGGCCCAGCAGATCACACGTGCTGTTCGTGGACAAGTCTACAAAAAAATAAGAATAATACTTGAAAGTCACGAGTGTGTGTGGTGTGTTGAAAGTCATACGGTTTACCCAACTAACGATATTATGTTTCGGCAGATAAGGACACCGTTAAGGAAAGGGAAATGTGCTGCTATCTGCGGCGAGTTTTGGCGTTTGTGGTCATAGCTTGTTGCTTGCCAATACAAATGTAGGCTATTACATGTACCCCCTTCACTTTGCTCTAGCAAGGTCTTCAACTTCTCGTCCTCTTTGGGTGTTAAAGGTCATCATCAGTTTATGATGGACGAACTGTTAACATGTATTATTGTAGATCTACAGTATGTCCCTAGATAAAGCGGACACTTTCAAACGGCTGTAATATTGTGGTCAAGCCAAATGAAACAAATTGGACGAACTGTTAACATGTATTATTGTAGATCTACAGTATGTCCCTAGATAAAGCGGACACTTTCAAACGGCTGTAATATTGTGGTCAAGCCAAATGAAACAAATTCTTCAAACCTCGTTATACCGCCTACTTTGGGGCGACCATAAAGTTGGCGGTACAGCACGACTGACGGTAAAACGGGATAGCACCGATTATAATCTTGACTAGTGGTATATTGGTAGAGACAAGAGACAAACGGTGGCCAGTCTGGCCTCATCTGGTATAGATCTATCTTGCACAATTGCATGCGCAGCTAAAAAATATAAGTAGCAACTAATTACATATACAGCTCCAGCTGAACTTTAATTAAGTAACATCAAAACTGAAAAAAGCTAGGATCAGAAGCTAGGCTATACATCATGTCAAGGGCCCTGTAGCCTGACAAGATTTTTTTACCCAATACATTGTACTCATCAATCCTCGTGCTGCCTAAACCTATCCTGTAGGTTTTTATCTTAAGTCCTCACAATACAAGACTTACTGGCACCCGCCAGCCTTTAGGTCATTGGGCGATGCCAGATATTTTGCTGGCAGTCCGAGTTCCTTTGAAGGATCTTCAGGCGACTTAAAAATGTCATTCCAATCATTTAAAAAATTAATATTAGCCAAAGCCCTAAAATTATAGTATTATTAGCATTTTTAAAATCAACACAAATCAGGAGAAAATCAACAAGCGTTAGAAATAGGCCGAGCTCGCTGAGATGTATGTGGGAAAGAGATCATGAAGCAGCCACTGTGTGGGTGCCGTGCGTAGAGTGGAGGCCTACCTCTGCCAGCCAATTTGCTGGCGGTACAGCGGGGCAAATTTACATTAGTTTGATAAAGACAGCACAACTTATTTGGCGGATGACGGTGTTAAGGTACAAATACTATATTTATAAAATAGCCGTTCATTTTTGTACACTGGCAAAACCTGGCAGTAAGTGGGGCTGGTAATATAACAAGGTGTGTGTGTGTGTGTGTGTGTGTGTGTGTGTGTC